ACCGCCCCCCGTTCTTCTGTAACAGACGCACGAGCCTACTGCAGGTACTTTTGTGCAACCACCACAAAAAACTATTCCACCTCCAACTCTAGTAAACACCATGGATTCCGTCAGGCTTTGTGCAGTCAAGCTTGGCCACACCGTCGTTGAGCGAAAGATTTCTTCGAAAGAGACCCCGGACGTGTATGCGGAGCTTGAACTAATCGCGCATATGCGCGAAGGACAAGACGCGGATATTCGTGTTCTCGGACCAGGGGGACATCGCAAAATTGCAAGAGTGGCGTGAAGGATTTGGAAATAAACCCCGGGAGTGTGTGGCGGCCTTCGTGTGGGACAGTCTGATATACTACATCAACGAGTCGGCCAAGCCCAAGAGCCTGAAGGAGTGGGAGCTTTTACTCTCAAAGCAGCAATCCCTGGAGTGAGTCATTTGCTTCGAACGTATCAAGGAATCGGCAGATGCACGCCCCTGCCTCACATGCCACGCTATGTGTTGCGCTGATTGCAATTGGAAAGTCTCTCCCGGAATGCCCGGTCTGCAAAGCCTTCAATATGACAAGCTACGTGCGTAATCGGGGTGTGTATGCGGCGCAGTTGATTCCACAGCTTGGTATCCCGATGGCCGACGTAAAAAGGTCGAAGGACATGTGCGCGAGCCAAATCAAGGAGCTGACAGGATACGATCATCTAGAAGACCTGATTGACAGCGCCATGTTGGCGGCCGGGGAGAAGGTGTACGACGTGAGAGACCAGTTGGTCCTTTCTCAAACTTGATAAACATTTGCAAATTCCCGTGTGTGCGCCCACCAGCTGATGTCCCCAACATCTGAAAAAATTGTCACCTACCCGTCGCACGATAGTGTCTCGAGACTATTGTACATCGGGCACTTGTTAGCAGTCAGCTTCTCTGCGCAGGTTTGCACAGCCATTTGCAACATGTTCGACACGACACACTTTGTGTCGCGGATACGTTGGATGTGTCGCAGATCATAGCATCACCAATGGCACACTGCTGTTGGAAGAACGCCCTCCACTCCGAGGCCGACTTCAGATAATCCCACGAATGCACCAACATGTCCTTTTGCAGTCTTAAATCAGGTGCGCCAAGTACGCTCTCTCCGTGCAGCCGCCGATTGACTGTGCAGCAGTGTAGACATCTTCATGTTGGCAGTGTCGTTACTGCTGTCTCGCACGTAACTTCGCCCATTTTAAACGCCCGGAGGGTTCTTTCAGGATGAGGTAGTCTACTTCAACGCTGATTTCCTCGCACACTTCAATACATCAGTTTTGCAAGAAGCGCCGGCCGGGCACTGCATGATGGGTTGCGCGGCCATTATCCAGATGATTTCGGTGTTCGGTGGTATTTTTGCTGACGGTTGCAACGTGTACAAAGGCGTTTTCTCAGTAAAGATTGGGTGAGAGGGCTACCGAGGCACAGAAGGGATCGCCGCTGAGGTATTCGTTGCGAAACGTGACTAAGAACGCTCAATCCGCCCTATCGCCTGCATGTGTGTTCCCGCAGCCAGGCACACTCACACACTCACCGTTGGAAGTGCGCCACCGCAGACGTGATCGCCAGCAGTTCGAGCTATCCCCGTGCAAGACGAAGGTATCTTCCTGGTTTTCTATGATCGTAGATCGAGCGCGCGGGTCGCATGACCAGCGTCTGCACGCGAAGGGTTTGGAGAAAACGCGATTGTGAGATGGGGGGCACGTGAAAAAAGTATACANTGACCAGCGTCTGCACGCGAAGGGTTTGGAGAAAACGCGATTGTGAGATGGGGCACGTGAAAAAAGTATACGTATCGACAAAATCGACTCACGGATCCCCCTTTAGACAACACCCCCGACTCAATACTGCTGTCATTCTGTCTTGAGAAGCTCACCGTGACTGAGGAGCTACGTGGTGGCGGTGAAGCGACAACAAGCGCCAGGGTCCGGCTGCATCACGAGTACAACCGCGCATCTGCGAACTGCCAATGTGAGCCCTTTGTCCTGCAGAGTAGTTTCTTTTGACGCGGACTTCCGCCTCAAACAGCTAAAGCATGAGACGCAACCAGCAACCCCGGTCACGGTCGGCGCATGGCCTGTCTCTATGGTCCCTGGTTCTTTGTATACTTGGGATTTATCGCGTGTTACGCGACGCGGGCGTCCGCCTCAAACAGCTGTGAGGGATTAGCGATGTGCAGGCATTAGACGCAATCCGACACACCAACCAACGCTGGCGCGCGGGCTGTCTCAGCCAGCTCCCTGTGCTTTGATGCTTTCGAGCGTTTGTACATCGGACCGGGTTGTTCTTTTTTTTCCGGAAGTGCATTTTTCGGAAGAGCTCGCACTTCGCTGCCCAGAGCTCCATCTGACACGGGCATCCGCCGCAAACAGATAAAACATGAGACGCGACCAGCAACCCCGGTTAAGGTCGGCGTGCCACCTGTCTCCACTGGAACCTGGCGCTTTGTTTTGCTTTGTTTGTTGACTTGCGAGCGTGTGTTGCGAATGATGTTTTTTTTTCCAAAACCATATATGTCGGAGAGTTGGGTCGTTGACTGCGCCGCAGCTGTGCAGCGTATCTGATATTCTGCGAATTGACAAGGTTATCTCCGCAAACAGCAGTGAGTGATGAACGGCGTTGAAGATGCGACGCAACCAGTCACGCCGGCCACGCGCCTGTCGCTACGGGCTCCTGTTGGTTTGATGCGAGGGGAGGCTTGCGTCGTCTTTTTCTTCCACTGAACGTCATTTTTGCGAATATCCCGCAAACTTCCGCACCCGCCCCAGGCCCGCTTCTGCCATAATGTCGACGGACCGTGACGCATTGGTTGCCCTTTACGACGCGACCGACGGGGCGAATTGGAAGAGCAAGCAAAACTGGAATACTGATTTACCGCTAGGGCGATGGCGCGGAGTCGAAGCCAACGACCAGGGCCGCGTGGTGGGACTTGATCTGCCCGACAACAAGCTGCACGGTATTTTTATCATGTTTACTTAATCCCTAGAGCCTGTTGCCGTCTTGCAATATGCTCGACCTTTCCCAAGAATTCCTTGACAGACATTGGCCCTTTCATAAAATTGCAAGTTTTACAACAGGCAACAACGTTCTCAATCTCGTACGTACCCGCGTTCTGCACGCGGTCCACTCCTGAGTATCCCTCATACGTGAATTCGCCACAGTAAGAGCACGGCGTGCGCACAATGCTGCTGTACTCGTCAAGGCTAATCGATACCGCAATGTTTCGTTTCCTAGCTTGCTCATTGAAAGTCCTCCATCTGTACATCAAATCGACTTTCCTAGCTTCTAAGTACCTCCGGTAAGCGGGGGATCTTCGGTGTCGCTTCTTGTTCAGAGCTCTGATGCGGCGTATGTCGTACTCTGGAGCATTCACGACGATGAATCCGTCCCGCACGGGCCCAGTAGGCTTGGTACTTGGTTTCCTCGCCGAGATCCATCCGCTGTCCTTCGTTGCACCCATAGCTGATGAACGGCCGGAAGTGTTGTGTGGTGTGGTGGTGTTTTTGTTGAAAAGAAATGTTCTAGACGTTGGCGCGTCTACGGGGTAAAAAATCAAGAACGACCCGGTTTCTAGAACACCTCCTCGTCTCTGCGACATGCATCTGGTTGGCTGCAAAGGTGTGAGGATGTGCAGTCTTCCGAGATGTCCTAGCTCGAGTTGAATGGCGCCTGTAGTCCATAAATATTCCCGCACTGATGCAGAAACGTGGATGAACCCCGACGATTTGTANTTATGTTGGCAATCACTCCTGTGCTTGTTTTCGGACCAACGTCGACCTGTTTTTTTCTCGAACCCTCGATGAACGCAACCGTCCCTGACGCGGATTGGCACCAGCAGGAGTGCGATGTGCTCCCGGGATTGTTTTTGCAGACGTGTGTGGGTGTGCGGCAGTGCTTTGCGAGCTGGTAGGCGGAGTTGATCGCTTTGTGGGGGCTTCGGGGGCACCTCGTGTCAAAAAAAAATTCGCCCCGAATTTTGACACGTCTTCCAGAAAAATCTGACCTGGAAATTTTGACCCGAAAGAGGCGGCGTAACCTCTCGGGTCAAAAAAACCGCTCGTGTCAAAATTTCAGGTCAAAAAAAGCACAGGTGGGAACCCTCGAGCATCTCCGCAGATCTGTTTCGTCTTCTGGAGAAATCGTGCATGGACGTGTTTTCTATAGGACTGTGCATGGACGCGTTGGCAGAACCATTTTTCTAGACGCCGGGGGGTTGATTTTGCTTTCTTCCGCCAACTTCTTATTTTCTCTTCGTCTGGCGGGCAACATCCCGCCAGAGATAGGAGATCTTCGACAGCTGCAGAGGCTGTTGCTCAGCAACAACCGGCTGACAGGTACCTCTTTTATTTTGATGGTTTAATATTTTCCTAGCATTGATCCATGGATGAATCTTGCCGAACACCGGTCCACCCATGAAGTAGGACAGATATTCTAGGAAAGGGGGGGTTAGATTTTTTGTCCCGCTCAGTTACTCCGTTCCGCACTTCCGCTTGCAGGCCACATCCCATCGGACCTGGGGCACCTTTCAGCACTTCAAAAGCTCAACCTCTTGTCGAACCAGCTGATCGGTGAGTGATGAAGTTGAGCATGAATGCCGCATATGCGTCCA